GCCAGCTGGTTCTACTCACATGTCTTAAGTTCCTCCTCCTCTCTGACATCAGAGCTTAGCAAAGAGGAGTCAGATAGGCACCTGAGGCCTGCAGACATTTATTTAGAAAAGGCTTTTGGCAGAACTCGCTGCCTCCATCAGTGTCACAAAATCACTCTCAGCCCAGATCAGTGGCCCAGGATTAGAATATAGCTACTGGGAGGTGGAGATAAAGGTGGTAAAGAGGATAGAAGAGAGGAAGGATTTAGCGAGCCTAGCCCCAAAGAAGTACCCAGGACCCCCTTCTCAACCAATCAAAAGGTGGGTGAAGATGGGTGCCTGCCATTGTAGCTATGTGGGAAGCAGAAGTAGTAGTGTAAGAGGTACAAGCCAGCTGGAGATTCTACTCAAGAGATAGCTAAAGGACAAAGAACTGGAACTGTGACACAAATGGTAGAGCACCAGCCCAGCAAGCACATGGCCAGGTGTTCAAACCTCAGTACCCTTTTTCTTTTTTCTTTTTTTGTCGGTCATGGGGCTTGAACTCTGGGCTTGAACACTGTCCCTCAGCTCTTCAACTCAAGGCTAGTGCTCTACCACTTGAGCTACAGCGCCACTTCCCTCAGTACCCTTAAAAGAAGAAGATCTCTATGAGCCAACTCTTCCTAGCTGGCCTTCCTCTTTCACTCATAATGCCCACTCTGCTATCCACCACTCCCCTAGCTTGCCCTGGACCTCCCTCCCTGCTTCTGAGAACCTCCTTGTTCAAAAACATCCCTCCCCCATCTGCGGTTGCTTAGCAACCATTGGGCATTCTAATGGCACAGACTGTGTCACACACCAGTGACGTCTGACTGCACTGCTCACTGTGGCAGACTTGGGTTCTGTAAGCCTGTTGTATAGGACCTGAATATTCCGCACCACGGAGCTGTAGAACAGCAGGCCTTTTCCAAGCCAAAAGCCTCCGAGCCAACGGCATGTCCCAGCTGCAAAACTCTCATCCTCAGTCTCCTCAACATACCCCCCTCTGTTTATAGATGATTGATACACAGCATGCAGGGGGAAGGTGGGATGACTAAAAAGTTTGGATAATAATACCCTAGTAACTGTAGTATGTACATACAGTCCCATATGCTATCTATACATCTGCATGTGTGTGCATGTGTCATGTATGCTTGTGTGCACACATGTGTCCCAGAAGAAGGGAAGAGGGGGAACAGGTACAGTTTGCTCTAAGAGTAGCAGACTCAGCTCTCTGTAAACCTACATTTTGCCATCAGGGAGTCAGTGTTTCTTGAAGACAGTGATGGATTCCTCCTCCCCCTCTTTCTACTTCTTTTCACGGTCCCCATTATCTATTCTGTTCACTAACACCTCCATGGGGTCAGAAAAAAGATCAGCTCAAATTAGTCAGTTCGCTTCTTTTTAGTCATCACAGAGAACAGGGTGGGAGGGTGAGGAGGTGGCTACTAATGGATTTTTGAAAAGCACAGTTGAGGCATGATCGGTGGTGTACGATCAGTTCTCTGCCATTTCCTCCCCACCACCATCACAGAGAATTGGCTATTGGACCTTATGTATAGTGTACTTCTCTACCAGGAGTATCTCTCTTCCAGTCTCCAGCTCCGGTTCATCCTTCATTGCCCAGCTCCTATGGTTTCTGTTGGAACCTTCCCTGATGTCCTTGGGTAGACAGAGAACATGCTTTCCTGTTCCCTGCTTTGTATCCACATCATTTAGTTCATAGTAGGACTCCAATTCAATATCTACACCTGTCACTGTTGGCACCTCTGTCATCTCTGTCACACAATAACAGCCAACTTGAGGGCCTGGCCGTGCCAGATCTGTCTTGATGTTCACAGACCCACCACAGCATCTGGCCAGTTGTACATACTTAGAAATCATCTATTTAATGAATTCCAACTTTCTAAAAAGAAAAGTCTTATTTGAGTGTCTAGTAGATGGAGGGAGAGTTAAGAAGTAAAAACTATTCCTTTGTGTGCTGACCAGAAGAAATGTAAAGGACCTAAATTGTATTATTTTGATCAGAGTAGTATAAGCTTTTGCCTGTCACCCTCCTATCAGAAACAAGGCTCATGATTTAGCCATTTCTCAGAATCTGTGCACCTAAGTGGGACATGAAACCTCCCAGCATTCATCACTCATGGGGGCACTGGATGGCATAAGGAGCCTTTGCATCCATCTCCTGCTGTCAACCATCTTATTGGGTTGATGTCTGTAAACATTCTTAATAGCAGGGGAGATTAGGACTTCATAACAACCCAGAGATGAGGCATAAAACAGACATGTAGTTCAACAAGACATGGACTCATTACCTTATTTATGTAACTGTAACCCCTCCTTAACTCTAGAAAACAGTGGAAGGAGACATGTCCCTAGAGAGCATCTTTGCTTTACCACCCCTCTGTGTGGGTGAGCAGCAACTCCTTGGGCTCTCTGACATTTGTTCTATCCAAACATGGCCTTGTAAAGCTACAAATAATTCAAGAGGCTGAATTTCATCACCAGTGATACCCAGGGGTGGACATGCGAGCTAATAGAGAAGAGGCACCCAGACATTTGCTGAATGAATTGATCTTCTTTTATCCAAAGGAATTCAAAATATCCATACAAATGATCTATAGGAGATTCCAGTGGAAACCTCCTACTTGAGCAAATTATTTCTATGATAATCAAATTCTAACAACTGTTTACTTCAACCTAACTTACTGGTGAATTTCTCCATGAAGTGTGAAGGAAGCATTCAGGCCAAGTTCTCAGGATGGAGCCAAGACTCATTCATTTCTAGAGTCTCAGAAGCCAGGGCCCAGTAAAGATTTTTGAATGAATGACTAATACTCATTCTCATAACTAGCACCCATCCTTATTTCTACTTAGGGATGCTTTTGTGATGGGGTCTTTTAAGCATACTGGGGAGGAGAGAGGAAGGGGAGAAGAATCTCAGGAAAAGCCAGCTAGAACATAAACGCCTAAGTCTTTAGTGAAATCTTCCAGGCCCCACTCCATTTTGCCTTCATCTCTTTCCACAGTCCCCTCAATCCTCCTGTTTCAATCACATTGGTTACTCTGACCCATAAAGGCCAGGAACACTTCCTTTCAGAGTCTGTGCTATTCAGATTCTTCTCAGCCTTGTTTCACCATTTTCTTTAGATCTTGCCTTATCTGGGAGTCCTTCCTCAGCATTTTTTCATAAGAGCAGTAACATTTTGCTAACTCCCTAGTTCTTTGGCTTATTTTCTTTCTTTCTGCTTTCATTATACTTTTCTACAGTACTGGCTACTGCCTGCTGTAATAGACACATGCTCACTAATTGTTGATGATCCCTGACCCTGCTTGGATGCCAGCTCTCTGAGAACAGGAACTTTATTTTGTTCTGTGATGAATCCCTAGCACCAAGCAGCACCTGTCACATACCACAAACACATGTTCCATAAATATTTGCTGAATGAATGGACAACTAGAGAGACAAATGCCCAAAGAAGTGAGCATCCAAGGAAGAAAGTGAAAACTCAGATGAGAACGTGCTTGCAATTTAGCTGCATTGCTGAGTCTCAGACCAGGACATCTGTCTCCATATAACTAAGGGCCCTCCTTTTGGGCCTTGAAAATTTGTTTGCCTGCAGAGAAGAAGCTTCTGGGAGGAACTTAATGTGGATCCAATACTGAAAGGGACAAGGATGAAGTCAAAGCACTAGGGAATAGTGGGCCTCACCACAATAATACACTCACACTGACCCCCACCTTTCCCTGGGCAAATAGACACTTGGGGATTTCAAATGATCTAAGTGAAATAACCAAGCCAATATATAGCCAATCTGAGAGATGCAATCAGGTCTATATAATACACAAAGCTCTTCTCTTTCTTCTGGATAATGTCACAGCTCAGGGATTTCTCTAAAGGAAGGAGTAAGAAAAGGAAGAAGGAGAAAGCAGACAAAGTCAACCTGTCCACCATAGATGGAGTAGAAGGAACACGTCGGGGTCTAAGAATCCAAGGAAGTTAGCATTGGAAGATGCATCAGCAGTCATCTGGTCCTATGCATGGATTTATAAAATGCTTCCTATCTTAGTTTTCAAGGAAACTTGGTATCATCTAACTGGAAAAGACGTTTAGGTTGGAAGACCACAGCAGTTAACACCAGCTACCAATGTAAGAATAAGGGATGTGGCTATCTTTGTGTGGGAGCCATTGCCTTCATGCTTTCTGAACTTGACTTTGAGTGTGCCTAAAAGTATAGTGTATTAATGTACTGGAGTCCAGGGAGTTGAGACCCTCAACAGATGTTTTGGGGACTAAGAGGCATGCCAGCTCACATCAGGTGCAAATCTAAAAAGAAGTTCAAGTAGATGTGGTCAAATCTTTTGTCACAGAAGGAAAATGCCCACAAATGGTTGGAAAGAAGTGAAGGAAGAGAGAAACTCAACATGCTGGTAGTCAGGAAGGTGGAAATGGTTAGCTGTAGCTTGTCCACTGCAAAGGCTCTTGGACAATAACTTTATGAAGCAAATTTGTCACTAAAAAATGCAACAGCAAATAGGAGATAAATCAGGTCTCTAACATGAGGCCTCAATCCCATTTTAATATCTCCCCCCTGTGTGTATCAATTTGGTTGGTCCAGAGGGGAAGAATGAAAACTCAGCTAACAGATGTTCTCTGCTTAATCGTATGTGGATTGTGGAAGGAAGTGACTAAAACTCCTGCTCAAATCTGTTTCTACCCTGCAGGTCATTCTTCAATTCCTCTGGTTCGTGCCTAAACACTTAAACCACACAGAATAGCACAGCTTCTGTTGAGAATACGGCTTTAAAAAGCCCAAGGCTTTTGATCATTACACTTTCCTTGAAATGCATATTAGTTATTATTTATGCTCTTTTTCTTGGGTTTCACCTGGAGAAATGGCCATCATTAGTACTTTCAAAGCACCTATAAATATGCACATTACATACTTCCTACTAAAATGCTGGTTGTTGTGCTCCACCTAACATCACGTGGTCATTACCTGGAAATGTCTCTTGTGATCCTGTTTCACACTCCAGGCTGAAGAGATGAACCCCAGCGGAGCAGCTGTGATACCACAGCACGTGGCTTTCCAGAGCGGATCTGTGTTCCCCGAGAGAGTCTCTGTCCTTAAGGGAGTGCTCTCTGCAGAAAGGGAATGCAAGTCACATTACACTATGAGACAATTTCCTTTCCCAGTCACAATGTGTCTCCATGCAGAAAGTCAGAGGATCAGCGATTTCAAGGGACAGTAATCATCTATGAGATTATCTCGCCTATTTCTTCCATTCTGTAGTTGGGAAACTGAGGCTTAGAGAAGAAAACAGCCCCCAAATCTCAGCCATTTGAGAGTAGAATCCTGATTTAAACACGCCTCTGACTGTGTTGACCTTTAGGATTTTTTTTTCTGAAAAATTAGCTACAAGGGAAAATCTTTCTTTCTTTTTTTCATTTTGTTTTAAACAGATTTTTTTATAAAGGGAGATGGCACTTTTTTCTGATTGCTGGAAAAAGGTTTTTTTTTTTTTGGTTTAACCATGGACAGCTAAGTTAGTAAAGTAGTCCACTTTCAGGCACATGGTTATGATTCTTTCCTTGTTTTTCATTGGAATTACTGTTTTGAGTTGGGCAGTAGTGATCATGACTGAAACCATAGCTACTTGAGAAGCTGAGATGTGAGGATAATGGTTTAAGGCCAATCTGAGTTGAAAAGTCTGTGAGATTCTTATCTCAAATTAGCCAGCAAAAAACTGGAAGAGAAGCCCAAGTGATAGAGCTAGATTTTAGCAAAAAAGTCAAGTGACAGCAGTAGTCCCAGAGTTCAATACCAAGTACTAGCACAGAAAAAAAAAAGAACAGAAAAGAAAAAGAGAGAGGAAGAGAGGAAGGGAGGAAGGGAGGAAGGAAGAAAATAAGAAAGATCACTATATGGAAGATGGTGGTGCATTGCTGTTTAGCCAGACTCTTTCTTTTTATCTGCCCTCCTCTCTCTGTTTTAAAAAAATACAAATAATAGAAATGGGCTCTCCTCCAATGAGTGCCAATTCTTATGGGATTTTTCCAGCTCTCTTCTATTTGAACAACTACTCCTCTGTGCAGAAAACCAAATTAGAGAGAAACAAGCAAATCTTATCTGTCAAGTGTATCGTGTGCATTTTCTAGATATATTTCTCCAATTGGCCCTCAAAACCTTTTTGTGATTTGCTACTAACTCCATTTTCTAAGAAACTAGTGCACCAAGCCTTCCAGCTAAAATGGCTTTCAGAGTCATAAAGACAAAATAATTTAGAAGCAGAAATAAACCTACATCTAACTCCTAAATCTATTTTTGTCCATTTGAACTAGACTAGTTATTAGACCTGAACAACAGAGTTATCTATTCATTCTACAGTTTTAACACAAATGCATTTTGGGAAGTTTAAATGTCTTTTGGGACTGAAGGATCTTTCCTACCAGATCCTGAAGGCCAGAGTCTCCCACAGGACCTCCCCTCAGGGAGGCTGGGCTGGCCTCTGCGCAGCCACAGCCAGAGGGCTTGGCAGGAAATTATGATTATCAATGCTCTGGACTTTGTTCCTGTTCTCAGACAAGCTAGGAGAGATGGGGTGGGAGTGCAGAAAGAGGAAGGAAAAAAAACAGGAAGTGGGGGGGGGAGGGAGGAAAGGAAATGATAGAGAAAACACAGCAACTTTGAAACGTCCTTGGCCTGATGAGAAAGTGATTTCTGAGCAGACATGTGGAGCTGTGCTTTGAATTTGGGGAAAGTGAGTTGTGGAAAGACGGAAATAGGAAAGAAGGTCCTGGAAGACTTGGGCTGGTGTCCAGTAAATTCCATCTTCTACCTCAGAGCACAGGTGAATACGGGGCTGTTTCCAGGACAAGGGGCAGTGAATTTGCAAAGGAGTCAGGGTAAGAAAATATCCCTCATCTCTTCGTAGAGACTCAGCGGCCAGGTAAGTCACAATGGAGCTAGACACAAGGGAGAATCTCTTGACATCGTCAGTTATCAGGGAGAGCTAGCCCATGCTCCCCGCTTGCTAGCTCAAGTGTTCTTAAATCATAACCTGTCTCAGCAGGTGTGAATGGAACAAATTCACCTGATCAGGGTTAGAAAAAAATAATCCTATTAGCTTCTACTTTAAAATCCAGAAGGAGCCAGTGCTGGTGAGTGATCCCTAGCATCCTAAGGGTCACTTAGGGGGCTGAGAGGGAGAGGATCTCAGTTTGAAGCCAGTCCAGGAAAAAATGTTTTCAAGATCCCCCTTCCCAACCCAGGACTTGGTGTCGTGGTACAAGTTTGTGTCATCTCAAACTGCAATGGGAAGCATTGAGTTTCAGGCCAATCTCAGGCAGAGGTATCTGCAAGACTCCATCTTCATGGAAAGACTCCATCTTCATGGTGGTGCCGGCTTGTCACCCCAGGTACTATGGAAAGTCTAAAATTGGTAAACTGTTGTCCAGGTACGTACCTGGGCAGGGAGTAAGACCCTATCTCAGAAGTAACCAGTACTAAAAAGGGCTGGAGATGTGATTTAATCATGGAGTACTTGGTGCTGTCTAGAAAGCACGAAGTTCTCAGTTCAAATCCCATACCATGCAAGCAGATAAACAAATAGCGCAAAAAATAGGTTAGTACAGCAGAGAGCCAAGTCCCTTGTAGGATCTCACCTGCAAGTTTCCTCAACACTCTGTCCACTCTGGATCGTTACAGAGGCCCACAGAGGTTCCCCTAATTTGCATATTTATGGATGACTATCTCCTGGTAACCCACAAAAGGAAAACCCCAATAATACTTTAATATGGATACTACTCCACAGCTCTCTGGTGAACACCAGGGCAGGCAGGGGATGAGGAGTAATAAAAAGGACAGACCCAACCCAGAGAGGGAACCAGGAAACTTGCATGTTAAGAGTCTTTTGTGGGCATCAGTCTGGCGCTGGTCCATTGGATAACAGAGAAGCAAATTCAGCTCCTGCCACAGCCCCACCTCCTTCTCTCTTCTAGACAGGATCACAAAAGCCCTACAAGGGCTGTCTCAAGGTCTCCCAGCAAATGGCCTTCTGCGGTGCTGCCCTGGCGTCTGTAAAATGTTCCCTCCCCATCCAAACAAACAGAGCAGCAAAGAGCAAGTACATCTTTGAAAAGAGTCCAAGCTCTTTGAAGTGACTGCTAGCCTCGAATGTTGGTGAAAGGGAGAACTGAGATGAAGGAGGGAAAGGAACTCCAAACTCGGGTGTTGGTCTCCAGGAGAAACAGAAGCTCTCCTTCTGCCAGCACTGATTTCACTCCCTAGCTACCATATCAGGGATCCAGGGAGGCCTCCCCAGCTCTCCTCACACATGGAGGAGACGGGCACCGTGGAGACGAGGGCTGGGCATCTGCAGCATCCGGAGACCGGCAAAGTGTCTCCAGTTTCTTATCCCATCTTTGTTCCTCTTGAAAGAGGTACAAAGACAAAAGAGTAGTCATCCCGTCTTCAAACTGAGGAGCCAAAATCCAGAGACATGAAATGCTGTATCCCGGACCACAGCACCAATACGAGAACAGGAATCTGCGAATGATTTTCAGTTCCCTGTCACGGCAGGAGCTGAAGGACAGCTGAAGACAGCTGCGTGTCTTCTACTCTGAGAATTTTTCACAGAAGGAGGCCAGGGCAAGGGTAAACCAAACAGAAGGCGAGATAGAGGGTAAGAGGACCAAAGGGCCTGAGAGAGAGCAAAGTCCACCTTCCAGGCTGGGCAGATAGAGGATCTAGGGCCCAGTGTGGGAGCATGTGTCTTCCTAGTGCCCCATTCCTCAGAGCAGAGCTTAGTCTCCATGTGAGAAGTGTTCTGTGGCAGTGTTCCCATAATACCAAGAACAGGGACCATATGGAGAAGGAAGAAGGGAGAAAAGTTTGAGATAAGAACAGGATCTGACCTGTATGAGTCTCTACTATGGGTCAGGCTTTGTTTAACACTAACCATCCAGTAATCCACCAGCTCCCACCAGCTGCCAGGGTGGGCCCGCGGCCCCTGCCCCTCTAACAGGTAAGAGAACTAAGACAAATGACTAGGTGACTTGTTCAAAGGATTCCGAGTAATTGTGGTAGAGACAAGGTGTGAATTTAGACAGTCTGGCTTTAATGTTTGCTTTTAACCTCTCCTTAAGACTCTCGCTTAAGGCAGTTGTCTTAAAAGGCAAAAGAGTAGGAAGAACAACAAGAAAGCAACCATTCTAGAAACAGATTTTAAGAGAGATGAGGGCCAGAAGCTCAGCTGGAAGGGAATATTGAAAGGTGCTCCACTGGCAGGACTGGGAACTTGGCCACGGTCACCCGCCCGTGTGACACTAGCACCAGTGAGTGACATCCTGGCTTTGGTATTTACACAGGCCCACTACAGGAAGAGAAGTGGGGGTTCTGGGAGCGGCTGAAGAGAGGCCCAAGATGGGAGGGTCATCAGTAGGTAGAAGAGATGGTGCTTTGGGAAAGTCCCATGTCCCAGAGGACAGAGCAGCTAGAATGGCAGGCAAATTATTCTCTGCTCACAGTGGAGGCCCCTGGGGAGGCTGCCCGGTTTCAGCCTTTGAAAGTATGAGGGACAGAAGTCAGAACAGAGGTCATCTCTTAGCATGTCACAGATGGTGAGAGTAAAGCCCAAATAGTAATCCTTCTGGAATAAGAAACGATGATAACAATCATTAGTTATTTGTCAATTATGGGCCAGGAAGTAAGCTAGATGATTTAGATAGATCATTAATAACTGTAAGAAATCTGCAAGGTTCTTAGGATTTCTCTATGAGAATGATGATTGTTCCTGATTTATATCTAGGGTAAATAATTTTGTAAAGGTCAAAGCAAATAGCCTATGCAAAAGATCGCGGGCCACTGTTTAAATGACATTTTGGCCCCGGATCTCACCTCTGAGCCCCATTGCTATGAACCACTGAGGTGACTTACGCATTCCTGTTATGGTGCTAAGCCACAGCCCATTTCAGGGCTGTCAAAGCAGCCAGCACAAGTTTTCACTTAAAGTATCTACCCACACATCTCTATTAAGTGCTGTTAACCACTTCCATGTATGTGGTCACATATAATTAGGATTACTTCATGATTTATCACCCAAACTTGGATACTTTTGAGAGAGTAAAGAGGTCCTGTTGATAATACGGTTGAATTATAACCCAGTTCTGGCTAGGCACAAAAAGACACCCAAATGTAATCTACTGTCCAGTGGAACTAGTTATTCTTATCTCAATGGACAGTTCCATACTTTCTAGTCTACACACACACACACACACACACACACACACAGAGTCCTTCATGACAACTCATCCTTCCTTTGTTAACCAAGCTGTCTGTAAGCTCCTTGGGCTTGTTGGCCCAGCTCTAGGAGCATCATTTGCAGGGGAAGGGGGCTGTAAAACTCAGGTTAGAGATTTCAGCAGCTAACACCCCACATTGTCTCCACTGGGAAGAGAGCCATGAGACAGAAATGAATAGTCCACATAGTAGAGTCTATATCTGATCACCTGCAGGAGATGTAAGCCAAGAGAATGTCTTCATATAGTGATATAATGCAAATGCTTTACAGAAGGGCAAGGAGACGGGGGTCTACCCTTGAACTTGGCTGTAGTTGGACTATGTGACTCTTAGCCATTATTCTCCGATCTACTGATGAAAATTTGTTTAAATGCAGATTATATGAAAATACACAGCAGCAACCCTCTATGGACTCTCTGAAAGTCAAATGAGACTTCTCTTCCAAAGTTCCATAGCTTTCTGGGCTCATGGTTTTTGTCTAGCATTGGATGAATGATTCCTTAAGAGAAGAGGCCACATTATACCTATCTCAGAGGCCCCTGGTCACTAGCCCAGAGCCTTGTATAAAAGAGAAGTTTAGATGCTTTAATTTATAAAACTATGAGAGTGAACAGCTCAGTGTGACTGGGGAGGGAGGAAGAAGGTAACAGAAAAGAAGGTAGGTAAAATAATAGGCTGGAGTTAGTCTAGGTAGGACTTGAGGCTAGAAGAACAGAAAGATAGTATGTCAAGTGCTTTTATGATTGGCAATAGGAGGAAGATGGGTTGTGATCAGGGCCTAGGGTCTCCACCTCGACAGCTGCCTACTTCAGTCTCAACTTTGTGCAATGTTTTTGGCCTTGGGGCCTTATCTTTGCCTTGGGAATGCTAACGTCATTGCCGGGTGATGAGGTGACCCAGTATTTCAAGTGACCAATGTAATACTTAGCATCTATATGAACTTTAGCCAATAGGACTGACTTCCCTAAATTAGTGAGGTAAAGCTGCCTTGGACAGTCAAGCCTAACCTTTATATAACAGAAGGTTACAGAGGTTCAAGGTCATGCTGACTCAGAGTAAGGAAGCCAGACACAGTATGTGGCCATATTTCACTGAGAACAGTTTGAGAGACGCTGGAGTAAGAGACATTTGTTGCTCAAGTTTCCAGCAATTCTCATTATGGGATAACATACTGTAGGAATCCCTGAAGCACTCACATACCCGAAACCCCATGGGCCTCACATGGCAAACACTATGGCAGTCCTACAAGCTCCTTGGAGTACCCCCTCCATCTTTCCCATAGCCCCGACCCTCAGCATCACCCACGAGGGACACCCTTTGGGGGTTCTGTGGGTACCTCATTTATATCACGTGACTTAGTAGAAGACAAGGCATGCTAGGCTGGGAAGCAGATCTGGAGTCCTATTTATGCTTTGACCCTAAATCTCTTTAAGACACAAAGGCAAGTCCTTCTTGCCTTTTATTTAATGAAGGGCTTTGGGCTGGGCTGTCTTGGGCCTTGAGACTGTCCATGGCTAAAGCCTGTCAGGGGGAATGCTTCTGTAGAGGGTAACTGATAACATGCCCTGACATCTGAAGACGAATCCCTTTACACAGCAGTCTCTACTAAAAATACTGTGAAAACAGAGCTCTTTCTGTATAGTCCAAGCCAATGGGAACACACTGAAGCTCAAGGCCCGCCCATTTTTAGCTCCTGCCCGTTCCTGTTAAGGCTGCCTCCGGGAGTCACTTTGCAATTCTGAACCTCAGTTTCTTCATATAAGCATCAGAAATAAAGTTCCTTTGCTTACCTCACTTCCCAGAAAACTCTGTTTTCTGACACTTCAAGGAGGGCCCAAATTTCATTTCATTCAGACATTCTGACGCTGCCTTACTCCATCTTTGTGTATGGAGATAGATACACTTGCATGAAACAGACACTGAGGAAATGACACCCTCCCATCACACTTGGTAAGGAGAAAGGAGTCACAGCACTCCACGTACCTGGGACAGCCGGGAACCAGTTAATCTGTCGTGCTATCAGCCCTGGCTCCCAGAAGAACTCCAATCCTGCTCCAGACAATAGCACAGCTGCTGTCCTTGCTGGGCTTCCTGCTGCAAGGCAAATTTGGGAGTCATATGATAGGTGTTCAGTACTTCATTCATCCTCAGGACACTGAGGGATCCTGCTTTCCCAACAGCTCAGGCAGGGCTGAGTAAGGTGAAGGTCCTTCCTCCACACCATGGCCCCAGGCACCTCACACTTTGGTGTGGAGCAAACGGAACTAGAAGCCCTGCGTAGCAGAAGGAAAAGCAATAAGATCTCCAAATAAAATCACCAGGAGGAAGATAGGAAGATATACTTTCCACTGGAGACCTACCATCTTCTGGCAAAATCCATATTCCTAAACCAGGTGTCCCAGTCCCTCCATAAACAAGTCCCATTCTTTCCATAAACTCTGACTGTAAGCCCTCAGATTCCTGAACTCTGACCCTGTGCTATAGCCTAGACTTTCATTTCCTCTATTTCTGCTGTCTTTCATGATCAGAAAGTTATTTCCTCCAGAAAGCCTCTCTGATTACCCCTCCCCCCAACACCCTATAAGGCAATCCATGCTGGGCTTTCCCTCACCTGAACAATCACAGCCATTACTAGCTTTATAGTACCTAGGAGCTGCCTTGGCACCTTCTGACTGGACTGTCACGACAACCTCTTCACCAGTTTCATTCTGCCTGGGCAGAAAGAAGGAACTTTCTAAAGTACACATCGTTAGATGTGTCCTTCCTGTTTAAACCCTTTTCAGGATGTCTCAGAACTTCAGAATGAAATTCAGATGCCCACATGTTCCCGCCCCTCCCCCGGGCCCCCTGCATTCTAGTCACAACACGTGATGCCTATAAGTTGCTTAAGGAGAAGACACCAAAGGTATGAGGAAGGCATGGACTCCCTGATCAACAGCTTTTATTCTTTTCTAGTCTCAGGCCCTCCCAGGACCAGGAGCATATAGCACTAAGCTATGGCAGAAGTAAAAAAGCTAAGACCAACCAGGACAATGAGTTCACATTATCATGACAAATAGACAGTCCATCAAGCAGCAAAGGGGCAAGAAGTTATTCGAGTCTCGAACATGCGTGAGTTCATTTCTGCTTTATAGCCATATTAGAAAGTTACTCTCACACGGAAGGAAACTAAGGCTCTCATTCATCACTAGTTTACATCTGGACTAAATTTCCAGCCAAGTCTCATCTTCTAAGGCCTAGAGTGGTATATCCACTAGCCCATTGGTCATCCTCATATGGTACCTCCCACCTGCCTTGACAGATGTGAATGACAGCACTCAGTTCCTGCCCAGAATTCATTCTGTCCAGGAATGAATTCTTGGAGAAGAAATACTGATGCTTGTTCTCTAAGAGCAGAGTGGCCCCATTGCCTCTCCAACTCTTTAATGAAAGACTGTGGAAAGAAATTGCCTGTTGCCAGACAAGAGAAAATTGCACTCTAACTGCTCTATATTTATCTGAGGGATGACCAAAAACCCTTGCCATAGCACATCACAGTGAAAAGTCGGTGTGTTTGCTATGGAAGAAGAAGGTCCGGAAGTGAGGGGAAGCTCAATGCTGCTCACTTTGAGAACAACTGCACATAGGAATCAAGTGACATTCAGCGAGCCATTAGCACCAGCTTGGCCCAGTCACCAATGTATCCCTCTTCCCATCTTTACATTCAGTGATGTCAAGCAACTACCTTAAACCAAAGCATGGTAGGAGATTTACACCATGGAAATTGGCACACACCCTATTCAGTTGTGTTTTGTTTTGTTTATTCTAGACAATTGATTAGTAAACATTTTTGCCAGCATGCTACTGAATGGATCTGGGAGATGAAGACAGAGGATTTATATTGTACTTGTGGTTCTGTTCCAATCTCATTGTTTCAACTTGAGTAGGTTTCCTGATGGCCTAAGTGTCCTTCTTTGAAAAAGCCAGAAGGGTACTTTGGTAAATGTAAACAATGATTAGTCATTTGGCAAAGTCTACAGACTTTTGTCACAGTAGAAGTATGTATGGTGCCACTGGCCAGGAATAGTCTTTTATATCTTACAATGCACAGGGGAGGCCCCAGAACAAAGATTATTTTACCCAAAATACAGCAGTAGAGCCAACGTTGAGGCATCCTAACAGAATGATATGCGTAGAGACTCATCGAACTTCCTTACATACATCCGCCTCCAGGAGGAAAATAAAGGAACTAAAGTCCATTGGCAAGAGCCCTGAAAGGCCAATGGGGCAGAATACCATGGTGTATGCTACAGGTGGGCACTGCTGGTATAAGACACAGGCCTTGTTCTAACACAAAGCTAGGTTCAGAGTGCGCGATTGCAGTGGCTTACAGGAAAAGCAATGGGGCTAGTTGAAGTCATGGTGTAGACACTCCTGTAGGAAGGCACTGTAGGAGGTAATATCCCTTTACAGGGACACTAGGTGGAGAAATCGGACAAGTGTGTCCTTACCACCTCTGAAAGGTTGCAGGAAGGAATGGTGTGATGTTCAACCCCAGAGACTCTGCTTGGACAAATCATCGCTATGCAGGCGACCTGGACTATAGTCAGAGGAGCAATTTTATTTAAGTCCTTTTGTAACAGGAGTTGAACTATTTGAAGAGGCTAGGCTTTCCAGTACCCCTGGGAGAGGCGATTGTTACAGACACACAGCAGGCAGCCTTGCTCTCCACACACGCCATGCCACTCCTTTTATTTCCTGTGCCACTGGGGATAGAAAATGCACTTAGCACAAACCACCCAAAGTGGAAACTGTGTTGGGTGAGCAACACTAACAGGCTGTGGTAAACTCTGGAAACCACAACAGAATCCAACAAGGCTGGCCCAACTCAGACCTCCCTCGCACTGAAAAGTGCAATGCCATGCATGCAACGTACATACCTACTGTCCCTACTCCATCAGAGCCTGGGGTCGGTGGAGCTGGGCGTGAGCGAGGCTCAGCCACAAGCAAGCCTTTGCCTGAGTCACAGGTGAGACACCAGACTTTGCATGGAAAAAGGCAGCCAAATTCTAAAGGAGTACTCTAAAGGAGTCGCCCAATGGGGACCTCCCTCTGTGTCTCCCTAAAGATCTGAAACTGACCATAAACAGTCTGACTCACAAAGCCCTTTAATTAAAAACCCAAGGGCTTAGAGCTAATTCTAGATGTGGCAGGACCCAGTGGCTTCTCAGGCATCAGAACTAACTGCAAGCAGAATAATGAGGATAATGTTGCCCTTCCTGGTTCATGAATGATAACTCACCCAACTATAAATTAAACTCCCTGAAGGAGCTGCAGGCCACCTGAGCAAGGATCTGTGCATGCCTTGCTTTGTGGAAAAGGTCCATGGCCTGGGAAGAGGAAAATTGTTCCAGGCCTGCTGGTGCTAGTGGCTCAGTGGCTCTCAGTTGAAAGCAGGTTGGTGAGTGTCCAGAATGAGTCTCATACATTGTTGGAAAGAATGATCTTCAGAGTTCTCTATAGTCTCTCTCCAAAGAGCTAAGAACTCTTGTTCTTGGTGCTCTTAAAAAGCTGGTTACAACTCAAATAGGACTCCCAGAGCCAGGGGAGGAAAGTAGGGCAGCTTCAGGGAAAGAAAATCCAAAAACTAACTTGTCTAAAACTAGCCCTGAGCTAGGGACGTGGCTGAAATGGTAGAGTATATGCCTAGCATGCACGAAGAGGACTCTAGATTTAATCCCCAAAATAGTATACTATATATGTGTGGGGGTGTGTGTATACACACACACACACACACATGCACCAGCATTGTCTTTAACGTGGCCTCTTCATCCCTCATATGCTATTCATCTTTCATATCCATATCCCAGCAAGGTGGGTCCAGGCTAAGAGAAGTATAGAAGTATGCTTGTCTAAGTAGCAAATTGATTTCATTGATTCTTGCTCAGACCTTAAGCAGATTCCTTCTCTTTTTTTTATTTAGAGCTGAAGCATTCAGAGCAGGAATAACATAACTGCTAAAGACTGAAAAAGGCTTTAGAGAAGCGATCTCCTCTCTACCATGAAAGATATCCATACATTGTGTACCAGACAGGCATCAAGCCCTGGGCTGTTGGTGCCTTGCCCTTAAACTCCCAGACGCCCCTACTCCCAACTTTGAGGAACACATTTCTGTTGTTCAAACGACTCCTCTATGTATTCTTTTAAAGCAACCTGAACTCACATAATGGGTAATGGCAAAAGTTATTTTTCTGTACTATTATTAAACATCTGGTACCTTGGATTGCAAGCTTGAACTTTTTTTTCATAGTAATGATGGCCAGCATTTATTTGTGTCTTTAACATAGTGAGCTCTTTATAAGAGAATCTCTCCTTATCGAAATAGTTTCACACAGAATGTATCCATCCTTTCACCGATGCAGATTCAAAAGTTCATAGAGGTTGGATGGGTTTTCTGAGATCACACAGCTAGTCAAAGGCAGAGGTATCTAATTCTAAATCTCGTGTTTAACAGTGCAGCTTGGTTTTTCACCAGCGATTGTGTTGGTATAGAGTCAAATCAGATGTCATAGATGCTGGAAGTCACCTTCAGTGCTGAGCTCTGACTGGAGGGGTGGGAGGCATGGGAGGTGATGACCTATCTTGGGATCGGCGTGTGGCTGCACACCTGATGGGTACACAAGACAATTACAGAGCCCCAGCTGGTGGGCCGAGTCTTTGAGATGTGTTCAGACAGAGGGACAATGACGGGGCGGAAGAATCTCAGTGGCTCTGGCCCTATGGCCCCTCACTAGCTTCCTGTAATTCTTACACCTCTGAGAACAAAGCTGGCACCTCACTGTTATTTGCCAGCAGCTCATAAAAGAGAACGCTACATGGAGTGGCAATTAAGTACAGCTTGACAGTTGCCACTGTGGTGGAAGTCCCCGTGTGGGGAAGGTGCCAGGCCCTCTGCTGTCTTCTCAGCCTCTGCCTCTCATTCCAGTCCGGCCTTTCTCCCACCTCACCTCATTCCACTCATCCATTTTCTTCCACTCCTGCCACACCCAGCCACATGTAGCTCTGCACATCAGGAGCTTTGTCACTTCTGTCTGTGTTTATTGCTCTGAGCCTTCTGCCTGACACCTCCCTCCCCTCGCATCCTCATGTTGTCCCATCTGCCTGGCTAGGGGCCATGCAGTGCAGTCACTGGTCACTCTGGGAAGCTTTCTCCAGCCCTATTCCCACCACACAGGTGGAATTTAGTGCCCAGCACTGGAGTGCGAGTCAGCAAGGAATCCACACGCTGAATGTAGGTTTGACCTTTTCTGATGGATATGGAAGGGGTGATGTCATGAGATCTGTGTATCATGTGAGTATCTACACTGTCAAGGTCTCTTATCTATATTAATATCTATATATGTATCTTTGCTCCACAGTGACTAAGGCTAAGTAACTTCTCCATTATTATTATTATTATTATTTATTTTGCTAGTCCTGGGGCTTGAACTCAGGGTCTGGGCACTGTCCCTGAGGTTCTTTTTGCTCAAGGCTAACACTCTACCACCCCAGCCACAATGCTACATCCAGCTTTTTCCTCTTTATGTGGTACTGAGGAATCGAACCCAGGGCTTCATGCATGCTAGGCAAGCACTCTCCCCCTAAAGCCACATTCCCAGCCCCTCTCCATTATTTTAAAAAAGATTTTATTTATTTAAATTATTATCTTTAAGTAGCTGTATAAAGAAGTTGCCCTTTAACAAAGCAGCTTGTGAATACAATGTATCCTGATCAATGTTACCCCTTTCAAGATTCTCACCCATCCCTCCCTACTTCTCCATTCTGACTTCCAGTTATTTTATCTCTCAAATGGAACACAAACATCATGCACACTCCATATCCCCAAAGTGTTATGAGAATAAAGTGAAATGATTAACTCATGATTATTACAGATTAAAAATAAGTGAGAAGCCCACATACAGGACTATACCTAGCTCCTCTAAAGGCTGAACAAAGGGACACTCAGAACTTCAAAATTCCCATTTAGAACAAATTGAGATGGCTACTTCTGGCTGCCATGGCTCTCAGGTCTAGAAGGTTCTACTCAGCTCTGTTCTCTAAACTGCCTCTCCTCACACCCAGGATCTGGGCTAGCTTTCTGACAGTGCCATTAGCAGTAAGGAGACACAATATCAAGACTCTGAAATCTACCTTTCCTATTTATTCCATGAGTGTTTCTAATTTCAGATAAAAGGAGAATTCTCACAAGGCCCTTTTGAAATCATGGTGAATAAATAGACATGCAAAAAGAGATTTGATATTCAGAAGAAATAGCAAATCCTTTGCCAGAAAGAATGGGCTCAGGACACTCCGAGCATTTCAGCAACCTTCTCTCAAAGTGCTCTTACCAGGGCCATTTCTGACTCCTGTTGATATAAGGCAAGACAAGGAGATGGCCAAACCTAAGTACCTGGAGTGTAGGCAGTGGTGGTAGTGGCGGGGGGGG